ATTCAGATGTACCTTGAGTTCATAAACCATCTATCTAAAAGTTGATAATCTACAAAAATGCTTAAGTTACCTAGCACAGAAGAAACTGGTCGACTTCTGGAGATCACTCTCAGTTGATGATATTTCTTTATCACTCTCAGTTGATGATATTTCTTTGTTTTCAAAGAGCGGTTTTAGCTAGATTAGACCTTGAACAACTACCAATTCCAACAAGAGTCTTTTTGTTAATTTTGATCAGTCAATTCCAACAATTGTTGTTCCAAACTAGGGAATCATTTCTTCAAGATTGATACGTTCTGATTGTCGACAATCTCATATAAATGGTTTTAGTCCAGTCCCCTTTCACACTTGTCCAACCACATTTACAACTTCCTATTGGATATGCCCATGTTTTGCCATTCAAATATCCGCCTCTTTGCTCAAGCCTCCCTCTTAGTTAAGATTAAAATGAACTTCAACCTTTCGAGCTCAGAGAAAAAACATGATACAATGGTGTATCACTACATAGGATTGCGAAATGAAAATAAGATGTTGGATCATCACTTAATTAAGTAGAACTAGTGAACTAGTGCAATACAGCCGTATATGAATTTCGTTTTTTCCACATTTTCATTTTTATGAATCAATTACTCTGCCATCTCATTCATCCCCCTTTAACCCTCATTGAAACCTATATTCCTCATTGAAACCTATATTGCTCAGACTCTCCAAAAATGTTGCCACACCCATGTCGGATCCTCCAAAAATGCACTACTCCATCCAATACCAACCCAATAACATTTTTGAAGAATCCGAGCAACACATATTGAAACATGAAGTCCAGTATAAACCATCAAGCACATAGCAATTCCAGAAGTTTCTGAATTTCTCTTTCTTAGTTCCTTAGTTAACATAACTGAATTATGAGTCTCAACACAAAAAAAAAAAAAAATTCTTCTTCTTTTTTCTTAAACCCTATCGAACTAATAAGAAACAGAAAAACAATCAACTTTCCAAATTCCCAACCAAAATCACATAGAAAGTAAAATGCACGTTTCACTTTAACAAATAAGAATCTCAAGATCTCACACACCCACAAAAAAAAACAGAAATGTACGATTTGAACAAAAAATTACCTCCAATGTCAATAGACAAATGTGAAATTTCATCAGCAGAAGTGGAATCACTCTTTTCTAATTTCCCATCAATTCCTTTAACCTCCATATCCGATCCTTCTGCCGCTTCTTCTTCTTCAAAGAACACTCAGTTAAGTGGAAAATACAATTCTGATTGGAAAAAAAAATCACGATCGGCGAAGAATATATAGCATTTTGTTCAAAAAAGAGCTGCTATACTTCATTAGTCATGGGGTTTGCAGGCCACCTAATTCATTTGAACAACAAAAAAAAAACATGTAATTTTTCTCTTTGGATTTGACCAATTACAAATTTACAATTAATTTAGATAGGCGTGCTATTTTTATTTTTATTTTGGAATCCAAATAACCCGCAGTCACTATAACCTTTGTCACAACCTTTATCCTTCGGGTGAGGTGCTCACTGGGTAAATCCCTCACTGTGTAATAGTCAAACCACACGGAGATGTAAACCGCACTAGGCAAGCCCTATGCAACAGGCTCAACTCAAAAAGCATTAAAGAGGGATCAATCCCAAATTATCTGTGTAAATAATCCCTCTCTAAACCAACTGAGTCATTCCGAAGGAATAGGCAAGCTATTATTGGTGCTGTAATAATAATGGATTGGTAGTGGGCTTAAGCTAATTTTTGGTAGTTAATGGCGCATTACATTGCCCCAGACGGTCAGACAAGACGGCCGAATTTTATTTGCTCCGTTATATATTAATCCGTGTGTGTTGTACATGTATATTAAATTAATTATATAGATGTGATATACGTAGTATTTATGATCAATCAACAATTGCATGAAATGTTTTTTCACAAAACAAAGAATCAAAGAATAATTGAAAAATAATTTGTGAAAATCCAAATTAAATTTAATCATGAACAAATACAAGCGTACCTCAAATTTCATTGAACTCAAACCACTCAACGATTGCAAATCATACTCCCTCCATCCACAATTGTTTGGCAAATATACTAAAAATAGATGTTCAAGATTAATTGTCAATTTAAACAATCAAGAAATAATTAGTCACTTTTTTTAATTCTTCCCTTAATGATTGTGTAGTTCAATTGAAAAGTTATGTGGACTTTTGGTATTTTTGATATAGTAGGGTTATATTAGTCAAATTACACCTTGTATTAAATTTTCCTTGAGCGATGTGCATGACCTTACCATGACAAACAATTGTGGATGGAGGGAGTATAAGCTTAAGAAAAACAAAGTTTACAAGTGGCATATCATAAGTGTCCTCTCCACCTTCCAATACACCTCATTTCTTTCTCCCGTCCCGTACCTTCATCCCCACACCCCATCACTCAACTCTTATCTCCCATAATATTTATCTAATTTATATAGAAATAATATTTTCTATATATATGTATATATATCAAACATATAAAATAAAATAAAAACTCTTTATTTTCTTAGAAAACATTCTCTATCGTACCAAACAATCAAACATACATCAAATTATGTAAAAACATTTAAAAAGGGGAGACGTAGTGCCTTATCTCACTTTATTACATAAATAAAATGGATAATACCAAACTATTCTTTTACAGAAAACGTATCAAAATGAAGTTTCTTGTTTTGTTTTGTTTTTTTGTTTAGGACATCTAAATAATCTAATTTGTTTATAGCTTAAGCAGATATTTTAGCCGTGTCGTGAAGAAGTTCATCAAAATTCACCAAACTTTGAGGGGTATGTGTCGTCACTAGTGAGGAGTGAGGACCATGAAGTTTTACCAAATTTGAAGCTTGAGGGCCATGGTTCTAATTAATAATAGTCATGGAATTTTTTAAATTTAAATACGTGGTATATGGATAAATTGAATATGCAGTGTTGAGAATTATTAGAGGTATAAATCCCGAAAGGTTGAATTTAGAGTGACGTTCTTGATAAGATAGGATCAGAGATCTTTCTTACGATAATGTAGAAGAAAAGATAAAAGGGGGACAAAAATGTCAGAAGGATGTGCACATACAAGATCACACTAACTTGAGCCGTGCAAAAATATTAACTAGTGCCACTAACGATTTTAATTTGACATATTATGGCACATTGGGTTTCGTACTGTAGGGCACTAAAGAAACCTTCTTATTGGTTGAGGCCCCTTTGTTGTAATCTATAAATAAGTCGATCTTTTCCATTTAATTTGTAGGAATATCCTATTTTCCGAGCAACGCAGCAACAATAACATTATTAATATTCCTTTGGCTAGAACTTTGATTGGTTAACTAAACTACATTATTGTAAGTGTTGAATGTGTAATTAAATAAATAAAAGAGTTCTTTAATTACTTAAAATGAAATGATTTGACAAAATCACTATGACATTACCGTAGCCGTCACACATTATTAAAAAAGTTCACGTGTTAAACATATGAAAAAGAATCAAATTCACAAAAGATTTAATTAAATAAAAATATAATTTTACCAAAAAACATTTATTAGACGATGAGTTCGCAATCATTCTTCTTATACTAATCTCTCCTATTTATTTTTATTTGTTTATCTGATTTTGATTTGAAATATAGTTTGAAAAAGTAAATATCTTTGCATCTTATAGTCTAAAATTAAAGATGTGTAGAATATACTAAAATGTCTTTATATTTGTAGTCTTAAACATGTAAGGTGGAAAGTTGATATTAAAAAAATGTTAAAAAAATGGATCAAAAAGATAACTGAGACAAACAAATTGAAACGAACGGAGTAATATATTGCTAAAATTTATAGATCTTAAACTCTTACCATAATTGTAAAGAGTCTCACATCAGCCGTTTAAGAGATGAATCATCTCTTTATTATGATTTGAACAATCCTCACTTCTTGAATTAACTTTTGGGATTAAGTTAAGACGTTCGGGATCTATTTTGTTACATGCATGGTATCAAATCAGGACTCGTTCCAATTTAATTTAATTTTCGATATTGAGCCTCTATATAACCCTGAGCGTGTGGTAAAGGGAAGGGGGGGAGGGGTACTGAAGATAGAGTCTCATACATCGGGCTTTTAAGATATGAGTGATGATCTCTTTAAATATATTATTTGGACAATAATTAGTTTTTGGGGTTAAGTTAAACCCAAAATTCATTTCTTTGTGATAACATGTGCTACACTAACATTAATACATAGAAATTAACTAGATAGAGACTTGCATTTTTTCTTGTAGTCAATTATAGTATACTTTGCTTTGTTTCAAGAAAGACAAATCCTCATCATATACCTCATTTCCTATACTTTGATATATGTGAAAGAGATTGGAAAGGGCCTTTTAAATGAGATGAAAGTTACTGTTTAAACAAAAACAAGCATGAGCCCAGTCTGGCCAGCCCATCAGCCCCATGGGAAACCTGAAAAAATTACTAAAACTTACTAATTTGAATCATTTAAATCAACAATCAATGTGTGTTGTGGATACATGAGAAGGGGAAAAACATAGTCAAACACACAGCTCTCTCTCTCTCTATATATATATTGAAATGTTGTTTTCAGATTAATAACAACTCTCTCTTCAATACTTGCAGTAATAAAAATTAAGTCATATACATGAATGATAATGTTTTTAGGTTGGTTATAAGTATATATATACCCCACTACTGTAAAAACGTATCAATAAAATTTGTGGCCTAAAATCAAATCTTAGTAAAAATATTTTTTATTCTAGTGACATTAAACTAAAGGTACGTGTGACATACTACAAGTAATTATTCTTTATATCTTAGCAGGTGTGTGTACGTTGACTGTTTCCTATAGACCCTCGTCTCAAGTAAATTATTTTCCAACATATTACTGGTTTCTCTATATATAAATAACTCAATTCCATTCTAGATTCCTCTCTCACTCCATCTTATAAAATATAGTAAAAACCAAGCAAGAGATTGAGAAGAAAAGATGTCAACATTGAACAACCATTTGTTTGAACTCCAAGACACAATTTGCTATGTGCAATGTGGATATTGTACTACAATATTACTTGTAAAATTCAACTTTGTTTCTTTATTTATTAATTTTAGTTACTACTAAACTCATGAAATTACTTCTTAATATCATCTCTACATATTTTAATTTAAAAAATATATATTCAGGTTAGTGTGCCATGCAGCAGCTTGTGCAACAAAATAGTAACAGTGAGATGTGGGCATTGCACTACTCTCCTCTCTCTCAACTTGGTTAAACCTTCTCTTCATCTCTTTGGTTCCTTCAACCAAACTCATCAGGTTAACTTCTATACACTGACAGTGTAAATTATTTTTATATTATTAAGTCACTTAAAAGATAACTATATATAAATGTCTCATCTGAAAGAAAAATAAGATAGATTACCTATTACAACATGTTAAAATTAAAATATATATGTTTACTATCAGTGTATATAAGTTAAATTCGTCTTTTTTGCTCCGATTTTAGCAGCCAAAGCCACCAGTTGACAAGGAGGAAATTGATGATGCTAATAAGAAGAATGCAAACTCAGAAAGCCAAATTATGGCCTCATCAGATGAAGAAGATCAATTGGAGAATAATGTTCTTCCTCTTAATCAAGTCGTTAATAAACGTAAAGTTTCATTCTTCGTTCCATCCTTCCTATTTTTTTTAATTTTGTGGTATGTTGTTCCGCCAACAAAGAGCGAATAAGAATCAAAGTTCTCTATGGTGATGTCAGAATTTGTATCTATTTAGTGGTCAGGTCAACCTGCTAGTTTAATTTCTTTGATCCCACTCGGTCTTCCTTTTTCTTAATTAATTATTTATTTATTAAGTACGTTACTCCTAATAATTATAACGACATATATATATATATATATATATATATATATATATCTAATTAATCATACTACATTTTTTTTTCAGCTCCAGAGAAGAGACAAAGAGCTCCATCGGCTTATAATTGCTTTATCAAGTACATTTTCAGTTTAATAATTATCCTAATTAATTATTTTAAACTCGTAAATATTATAGACTAATAATTATATTATTTTATATTAAAATTATTTGCCAATATTTTATTTTTTTTAACAGAGAAGAGATCAAGAGGCTGAAGAATCTATATCCCAACATTACTCACAAGCAAGCTTTCAGTACCGCAGCAAAAAATGTAAGATATATTTTTATTAATTTACCCTTAATAAATATCTTGAAAAAGATATAGTTGTTAAATCGTTTTTTCGTTATATAAAATTTTCTTAAGTTAAATCAGGGTAAAATTGGCAGAATGTCATTAATATGTTGTTGATTATATGAAACATCATAAAATGAAAAAAATAAAAACACCAATTATTTTAAAACTGAGTGAATAATTTCCACCCAAGATCTTATTTTCATTAACCTAGATGGAAATCTAATTTTAAATAATTAATTGATTTTGATTTCAGTGGGCCCACTTTCCACCAAGTCAACATAGAGGAGGCTGTAGTGTTGGAGACAGGAAAATGGCAAAGGTACATCCCTAGCTAAATGAAATTGGCAATTAAAATTTTTGCATAATGATTGAAGAAACCTATGTGATAATCCATAAATGGACCAACAAAAGTACATTCATATAATAAGCTAATCCTAAAGTTAAAACAAAACAAAAAATGGCTAATAGAAATTCGAACTTTTGAACATATGAAATCAGCTACGGAATTTTTCGATAACTCTTAATTAATCTATCGCTAAAAAGTTTGTAGCCAATTTTTTATTATTATAACATGTCGCTTAATTATGATATTAACATAAAATATTTATTATTTAGCTACGAAACATGCATGTCCGTCGTTGCTAATTCTTTATTTTCTAGTAGTAGTGATTATTAGCACCAAAAAACATGGCATGCACTCATTTACTCGGTTGGCATCTTATATTATATCATGTTATTTAACAAATAATAGTTAATCTTTACACTGTCAACATATATAATTACGAAGTTACGACATGTTCTATGCTAAAAAGATCATTTCTTGATAAACATAATGGTATTTATGACAATGATTTTGATTGGATTGAATAGCTGCCCCAACCACCATACATATCAAAGTATTAATAATATTTCCCTTAATTGGTATCAATTTATTCATTCATATCTGTTAAAATTAAACCTTTTATATATAGGTTTCTGCTGCAAGGAACTCTATGGTCCCAAGAGATAGCAATGGTTTAATTCCTTGAAAGAAATGCTTCGAGTACGACTTCGTCTCATGAGTGAAGTGATCTCAATCATCCCGAAATCGAAGAATTGAATTATGTATTGTCTAGCTAGTAGTAGTACTGTTGGTTTCAATTTCTATTTGTGTTAAAGATACTATTGTCAATTTATATGGTTGTTGAAGTTTCTGTTTGCAACTTTTGGAAGTTTGAAAGTAGTCACATATATATAATATAAGATTTAATAATAATTTATGTATTTGATGCGTTATATATATATGGTATGTGAATTAACCAAATGCTATGTGATGAATCTTTTTAATTGTTTAGATTAGCTTAAATGCAAACACTTTAAAGTATACCCATAAACAATTGAAAATATTTAAATATATACAAGCAAAATCAAATAAATTAGAGGCATGTCTAATTAATGCTCTTTTGCGTATAATAATATATACATTTGCGATTAATGATCAGTCATGTCACAATTATAAACGTGCAAAAAGTAAGCACGTGCCTCGACCCCGGTAAATCTTAATACATAATCAGCCTCTTAAATTAGTCGAAATATTTTATTTAAACATTCGAACTAATCATATTTCAGATGAGCATCTCAATTACCCTAATTAAGAGATTCAATCAGACATGTTCAATTCAAATTTTGAAGAAAAAATTTGTATGTGTTTTCTTTTACTCGTATATTAGATAGTTAAGTTAATCAAATAAAATATGTCAATTTCTTTAATAATATGTATCAACATCAACTGGAAAATTTCTGGATTTACAACTTATTAAGACAAATACCTATAATTAAAAATGACATATTTTATGTTGTTAACTCAACTACCTAAGTACTAACTAATAGGTGTCCAAGAATATATATATATATATACAAAAAAATCATAAATTTAAATCGAAAATGTCGAATGAAAAACTTTATTAAAAATTAAAGTGTTCAATTAATATCACACTTAATTCGAGTGTCTAAATAAAATTGGATTGGTCATGTATTATCCCTTCTTTTAATGGGTCCTAAACTCACATACATTCCTTAAAGTTCGATTTTCAGGCTCCATAACACAAAGATTTGTTTGATATATATGTATATATTATATATTATATACTCAGAATATAGTAAATAAAAAAGATTATGATGAAAACGCATAAATATATTACATCCTGGCTAGAAATCTTCTTCTTCATTCTTCAATTACTGCCAATATTGTTTCCTTCTCCCAAATCTTGGTTCTCTTTGAAAGCCTAACAAATTAAAAATGTTAACATAATTAATTAATACTATATAGTTAAGTATTTCATCGTTAGTTAATGTAAAAATAAATCATTATTTAGTATTAATTAAACAACTCCTAAATATAAATTAATTACTTAAGGAGGGTACTTGTGTTGATATATTGGTGAAATAAGCTTGAAAGAAGTCCGTGTTCTCCTTTATAAGCTCTCTCCACACTGTAAACATCAAAGTATATATATATGGGTCATAATCCAACAATAAATAAATAAAAAAATCGAAAGAAATAAATATGTTTTATTCAGAGACGAAGATAGGATTTCAACTTTTTAGGTTCTTAGTTTTACATATTTAATGAATTTATTAACACAAATACATTGTATGAGCAAAATCTATTGTATTCAGTCGAACTCACATACGGACTATTAGCTCTGCCCTAATTATATTATTCTCTTTCAACAATATAGTATTTGTCCATAATGGTACTGTCGTACTAACTACAATAATGTTTTAGTGTGACGTGTGAAGTATAAGGTATATTAATAATTTTAGAGATAAAATGTAGGAAAATTTTGTCTTGCGTTTGGTTAGAGGTATTAGACAATCCAGAAATTATTTATCTCACCATTTATACCTTCGCGATGGGATAAGTTATCACCTATACAAAGTAAAAATAACTTATCTCGAAATAATTAACCCTAAGTAACTTGTTCCCGACCAAACGATAAGTTATATATAATGACCTGTTAGTGTTACGAGTGGGCGGATTCTGGCATGTATAGCTAATGTCTTAATGCATTCATCTCTATCCATCCCAAGCACTAAACACCTCTCTATCATATTTTGTACCTGCCATAATAATATTATTATAAGCTAAGATTAGAAAAATCATGCAAAAGAGTATATTGATTATCATAATTAAAAAGTAGTGTGGATCATGTACACGGACAAAATAACTCGTTAATTCCAAAAAATAATCTAAGAAATATGAACCTATCAAACTAAAATTCTAAATTCATCTCTGCTTTCGTAATGAGGCATACCATTCTAATGTAAATATGAGGGTTGCAACACAAACAAGGAAAAATAGTGAGGACAGACATGAACAAAATAACTCGTTAATACTAAAATAAAAATAAAAATATATGAACTTATCATATTAAAATTCTGAATTCATCTCTGCTTTCAAAATGAAGAAAAAGAAAGAATATAGATATGAGATAGGCATACCATTCTAATGTAAGTATGGGGGTTGCAACACAAACAAGGGAAATGGTAGTACTCCTGGTTTTGATGATACATAATTTAGTAACTTTTGAAGGAAATGGACAAAACAAATTAGTAGAATATTTTATTTTAGTCAAGAAGAAGAGGAAAATAGAGAAATAATAAAAATAATAATATTGTAAACAAGTGGGAAAAAGTGCATAAATAGAAAGATATTTAGAGGGGACTATATATATAAGAGAGTGCATTATATTGTTATCCACAAGGTATCTAAGTGAAGGGCCAAAATAGCATATGAAATCCAAACAACACATCAAATCTCATCTTTTAATAGATAAGAGAAAATGAATTCTAAAAAAAAAAAAAAAAAAAAATTGAAAGATGAAGTTTTGATTATAACAACATGTTCGTGGCTTAGGCTATTGCCACTTAAATTCAATTCATGTTAATACATATTTTCTGCTTCTTTTGGACCCATCAATTTATATATGCAACGGTCCCCGCATCCTCATCACCTAAATAATTGCATATGTGAATTTAGTACTATACGTTATGTCAATGGTGAACAATTCTGTAATTTGCAAGTAAATTTTATTTGTTTTTTAAATAATATATTTATGTTTGGGCATCTGAACATATATAATATAAATTGTACCTAGATATTTATGACTCATATTTTAGAAAAAATTATATGTTTGTTCACAATCGTTTATCACGTAGATAAACTAATCACATCTTCCGATTTTTATTTATTTTATACTAAAGTACACCTTACAATAAGCATCAATTGGAAAATGCATCAGATTTTACGGCTTATTAAGGTTGTTAATATATATAATGAAAAGATGTGACATATTTTACGTGGTTAACATATTAATGTAATAATTATGCTTGAGAATGCGTGCAAAAGTTTCTTTTAAAAATAATAATAATTAAGTGTCTAATAGGAATACTTTATTATATATTAAGATGGTCGATCAGAATATATCATAATTCGATTGTCTAAATAAAACTGACAAATATAAAGGGTTATCGCTAATAAACTTTATCATATTTGCTGGTTATAAGGATTTTTTGTTTAACGACCTTAATTATCGGGCATTGCATGTAAGTTAGTGGTAATTAAGTTTATATTTTTAAATTCCATAATCAATTATTAGCTCTCCGCCACCCTTAATTTCCTCAAATTATTTTTTCCTTCATAATATTCATCAATGTTGTTGCAACAACAACAAACACATTAATTAGCTTTAATTTATTGTTGCAACAACAATAGCCTTTGGATTATTTTCCATCTTGTAGATAGGAATCAAAATAAGAAATTAAGAAAACAATATTTCTTCATCCCAAATTGTTCTTTTAATTAATTATTTTCGAGAACCAAATTTGAATTTATTCATTTAAAAAAAATGGAAGCATCAAGGATTCCTTCAAATCCATCATATGAAAGATTACCAACGTCGTTCTACACTTCAACCCCAGCAGAGACAAATAACGCTAATTGGGCGGACCCAAATAATTCATCGGAATTCGAACACCTAAGTTCATCGCAAAAAATTGGATCCCTCATGTTTGTTGGTACCATGGTCTTTGTTCTCATCGTAGGCCTTTTTGCCATGATAGATTTTAGCATGTCAAGAACCGTTAATTACTCGAACTCACAAATCATCGGTATGCATGGAGTCCATTTACAATCAATGTCCATTTCCAATTTACAATCCACGATAAATTCAACGTTCGTAGCAGGATGTAATGTCATGTTCAACATCACAAACAAACGTGACATTGAATATTTTTACGATAAGGGTGTGATTTGGGTAATTTTCGATGAGAAAATCATGTGGACATTACGAACAAACGAATTTTATCAAGCGATAGGAGAGACAACATTGGTTAATGCATCGGCAAGTCCTGCAAAATTAGAGACAGATTTATATGTACCAAGAGCACTTGCAAGTGATAGAAAATTACATGAATGGGAAATGTTTAAGGTGAGATTTGATATATATTATAGAGGTGGTGTAGGAAGAAATGGATTTAATTTGGGTGGATTAAAGTATGATTGTGATGTTAATATGACTTTTGTTGATGAGACTACACTTGTTGGTGGACCAAGTAATTGTATTGGTAGTGTAGAGGATGTAACTACTTGTGATAACTTGTTTTTGTGTTCTAATAATAATTAAAAAAAAAGTGCAAAAAAATTGAGTTTTGAGATTTTTTTATTATATAGTTTGTTGTGAGAGAATTGAGTTTCATAAGTTTGTTTGACTGCCAAATTGATGAGTCATTATATTTCTTGTATATCATTTTGAATAAGACTTGCTTGTTCACTTGTAAAAGAGAATATTTTGTACATATAAATTGGATAAAGTTAGATGTGCTGATTGTGTAAATATTTTACACCTTTACTTCTTTGTTTTTGATTTTGCATTTGGTGTTTGGTATTCATATTGGAGCTCGACCAAATTTTGATTCGCTTCGAAAAGTCACACATTTAAGAGTAAACGCTTCCTAGCAAAGCTAAGATGACTCACATTTGAGACCTTTAATTAAAAATGAAAGAATATTTATCACTCCACCACAACACTTTGTTGGTGCACCATTACTTCAAGTCTTCAACTTGTTAACTACTACCTAAGAAAAAAATAAACCCCTCATCCCACCCCACCCCCACAAATAAATAAATAAATAAATAAATAAAATGATTGCTATATGCCTATTAGGGGTGTACAAAATTGAACCGAAAATCGAATCAAATCGCAAATCGAGAAAAAAAACCCGACTAGTGGTTGGTTTGACTTGGCTTGGTAGTGAAAAAAAAAACTTGACTATATTTGGTTTGGTTTTAACTAAAAAAAAACAACCTGTGACCAAACCAACCCGACATTATATATATATTTTTAAATTTTTTATTTTATACATAAAAATATTTACTTTGATATAATTTTTAAATATTTCTTATACTTTTTCATAGTTTTTATCTTTTAATATATTATTATTTCAAGTTTGAAACTTAGAATTCTAAATGGTTCAATAAATATTATAGTCCACAAATGTTGGTAATTATAATAAAGCTTAAATCAAAATCAAATTAATACTAATGCAAAAAGAAAATCAATTCAACACTAAAAATGGCAATAATATTGAATATTTGTTCTATGGTTTTACATTGGTTTATTCAAATACATAATCTAATTTTAATTTCCTTTAATATTTAGTCATGTAACTAATACTTATTAAACTTATTTTAGCATGATTTAATACTTTTAAATTATGATCATTGTCATTATGACTTGTTAATTTGTAATATTTGTTTTGGCGATTTCATTATTATTATTTTTTTGTTGGATATTTTAATATTATTACTCATATAATATTTTGTGTTATTTTCTTAAGAAACACCTTAGATAGTTGTATTTTGGTAGGACTAAAGAAATATTTGAAGTACAAGTAAATTATATGTTTGTATGAATACTTTACCGGAAAAACTCGAAAATCCAAAAAACCCAAAAAAATCCAAAAAAACCCGAAGTTGAAAAACCCGAGTTTTATTGGTTTGGTTTGATTTATAGATTTAAAAATCCGACACAAATGATTTGGTTTGATATTTGAAAACCCCCAACCAACCCGGCAATGTACACCCGTAATGCCTATATCCATATATATATATATATATATATTCTATTATGATATGTGATGTTTTAGATCTTTTGTTTCTCATTTTCAGAATTCCACTATCCTTATTCAGCCTTTTTCATTTAAATTATCATTTTTCCTTTTGTTTTTCTTCACAAATCTTAGCAAATTTATATACCGGTTTGAATTCTAGACATACATCTGTCGAAATTTCTTGATAGCTAGATATACTTAAACGAAAATAATCTAGTTAAAGGAAATTTAGGATTCTTTTTTTTTTTTTTACATAATATATTTTTCGTTTTTCTATCTTATATTTGTTATGAATATTATAGTTTGTATGAATGTCCATTACTTCTTCTGTGATGTAGATTGTTTATCGAATATATCGTTATTTTAATTAATAGTAAATTATTTATTTAGTTTTGTAAAAAAGATTAAAGATAAGTAAGTTAAGGTCGATCATGTTCATTTCATTTCTACTAAACCACTAAGAAGGGGGTTGTTACAAGTGAAAATTGCTTTTAAATAAATAGAAAACTACAAGCAGGCATCGAAATTCTAAGAGAAGAAGATAAAGATAAGATATGGAATTTTCTGAATGTCCTTTATTTTTGTTATCATTCATGATATAAAAGATTATTGAGCACATAATTATCATGTAACTTAATTTGATATGTTTTATAAATTCATCATAAGAAAACATACATACATACATAAAAGTGAATGCGCATGTTGACCTTCCAATATTGAAATTTCGATTTTATAGTGTAGGACAAATAATTAGATATCAATATAGAACTTTTGCAATAGATCTTTCTTTTCAAATTTGTACAAATACCATGCATGCATCAAATGAATGAAAGTGCAAGAAATTTTTCTCAAATATTCTCACTCTTAATTTCTACATTATTTAATATAAATATATGATATCTGTCTTTTGATAGTTATTATTAATTGCTTGATTAATATGATAGGTCCTTGATTAAATTGTTTAAGGATATGATCATTGAATCGACTCAATTATTGGATTATTATCTTAATAAGTTAGAATTATCATAAACTGTCATATTTAACAAATTCTATTATGATGTTGTGCACCAATGACCTTAAAAAGTTACAATGTAGTTGTAAAGATATTGAATATGAATAAATGCTTGTGGAATTACATAAAATACAATCAATATTATAATTTTTTTTGGAGAACTTGCACGAAACAACCTCATATGAATATATAAAGACTTCAAATTCAATTTTGAATTGGATTGGAGAAGTCCAATAAGGACTTATGCACAACACAAATTTCTCATTAAGAATATGAGATAGTACGTTTTTATTTTTAATGAATTTCCTATAAGAAAATTGTATGTAGTCTAATTATGGGATTAGATTACATACAATTTTATGTTAGATATGAAATATTGTTTAGTTTTAATATATTTTTTATCCGTTTTTAAAAAAAATGTTTTTTTGTCTTTTTCTTTGATTTTTTTTAGTTTCAATTTTGCACTTGATATGTCTAAAA